CGACGCCCACACAACCCACACCTTGGTGGGGGCTCACAGGTCTTTATACGAATTTTAGTGACCAATCAGATCCTATCCTGCAAAGAAATTTCTAGTCAGATTATGTCATGCTGCAGAAAGACTGAGCATGCGCCTGGTCAGGTTTTGTGGGCAACTGAGCATGTGCGAAGCTGAAAAGTAGGTCACGGATGACTGACAGGCCCAGGGGTCAAGCAGAGGGCATGCAGCCTAGGCTGTCTGCACATGTCAGGATCGACTCTCCTGTATTGGCAGCACACAAATCTAATAATTTTCATTGACAAGAACATGTACAGTAACCAGAGTTACTGTGCAGTAATGCTGGTGAACATCTTTTAAGGCTAAGTACAGGCATTCAAAAAGCCCAAGCCTGAACTGATTTAATCTTTGCAGGATAATCTAACCTGAGTAGATTGAACCAGCAAGCAAGTGAATAGACATTCACTTTTGATTCCAGAAATGCAGCCATATGCTTGCAGTGGCTCAGGCTAAAGCAAGCCCTCCCTTCCCTTCCACAGTGGCTGGAAGGAAGCTGAGCTGAGGGCGGGGACATGGCTAGGCCCCAGAAGGCCTGAGTGTGATTGGTGGGCGTTCTCAGTTGTGGGCACTGTGAGCAAATCTTGTATGGGAGGGTCTGGTCAGGGCTCAGGCAGGGGCTGGACTAGACACTAACCTAGAGGATATCTGGAGGTCCCTGTCAGCCCCACTTCTCTGTGACTCTCTCCTCCCTCCCCTCAGGCCTGGGACTTGGGCTCCTGCTCTCATTGCTCAATCCTTTGGTGCCAGCTGCAGGCCAAGATCTGGCCATGCTCCCTCCCTCTCTGCCCCTCACAAAAGGCAGGCAAGGGCTGCTCCCCTCCTCCAGGCATACCTGGCCCAGCCTAGATGTGAGAAGCTAAGAGCAATCAGGGTGCACAGCTCCTGTGGCCCCAGCCTGAGCCACAGCTGGCTGGGAAGGGCCCTTCTCCCATTGACGATGTGTAGGGGGTGTACGTGGAGCATGGCGGTGCACCCTCTGTGAAAAGGCACCGCTGATACTGGTGGCAGTGCCTGCGGGTGGTCACCGCTCACAAGCCCTGCCCCCCCACTGCTGATACCACTTGTGGCATCTGTGGGCGGTCTGCGATTGCTGCTGGCTGATGCCAACGCTGCTAGTGGCATCTGCGGGTGGTCCCCAACCACCAGTTAGCACTCACCACCCCTTCCTCCCCCCTTGCTGCAGACAGTGCTGCAGCTGCCTGCGGCAGCTCTCCACTTACCGACACCATGCTCCTGCCACCAACAGTGCTGCCGCCACCTGCAGGAACTTGCCATACCACCCCCCCCCAGCTTCTGGGGTCATGCAGCAGTCATGGCTAACCCCATGGCCCAGCCCAGCCCAGCCCACCCCCTCTGCACCCACCCTCAGCAGCACCTGTGGGCCACCCAGCTTAGCTCTGCAGCCCCAGCCCAGGGTGTGGTGGGTGGGTGGATGGTGGGGTTGGGCTTGGCTGGGCTAGGCTGTGGGGGCAGGGCCCTTCCCAGCCAGCTGCCGCTTAGGTTGTGACCTCAGGGGCTATGCGCCCAAACTGTTCCTGGTTCCCTTCCACCACAGCCAGCTGGGAAGGGCCCTGCTCCTATAGCAAGGCCCAGCCTGGCCTCACCATCCACTCACCCTGCCTTACCTGGGGCTGGGGCTGCAGGGCTAAACTGCTGAGGGCAGGCATGGAGAGGCCAGGCCAGGCTGAGCCTTGGGGGCCAGGCTCTTACCGCTGGCTGTGGCTCAGGCTGGGGCCATGGGAGCTGTGTGCCTGGTTTGTTCCCAGCTCCCCACATCCAGGCTGGACTGGGCTATCATGGAGGAACCACTGTGGCAGGCAGAGCTCTCCCCCTCCTCTTTCTCTTCTCCTGCCATGGGGCTGCGGGGGTGGGGGGGAATGTGTGGCACTGTCCTGGGGCTCAGGGCTGGAGGGGTGCAGTGCTGGGCCCCACTGTGGGGCAAGGGAGGAAAACTGGGAACAGGAAGCCCTTGGTGGCTTTTTTCCCAGCAGTAGAGCCCCCTTGGCAAGTGTTCTCAGTTGTGGGGACTACAAGCAAACCTTGTCTGGGAGGTCTGGCCAGGGCTCAGGCAGGGGCTGAACTAGACACTAGAGAACCTCTGGAGGTCCCTGTCATCCCCTCTTCTCTGTGATTCACCACTCCCTCACCTCCTTCACCTCAGGCACTGGGCCAGGGTATGGCCATGCTGCTGGTCTCACTGCTTGAGTGGCAAGCCAAGGGGAAAGCCAAGTAGACCCGGGCTGGTGTCCCATGCCAGTGGGAGATGGGAGGGAGGGGGGATTAACTCCTCCCCTTCTCAGGCTACCAGTATCTGGCCATGGCCCCTGCAGCTGCTGCTCAAGCAGTGAGGGGAGCCACTCTGGAGCAGGGTTTACCACCTCCCACCACCTTCTCAGCCAGCTGGAGCAGTGATAGTGCTTCAGCTAGAAAGAAGAGGGGTGGGGTCAACCCTGCTCCACTGGAGCAGACAGCCCAGCCCAGCCCAGCCCAGCCCAGGACTTCACAGTATCCTTGTATTCTGGGGAACTGTGAATTAACTTAAATCAGGAAGGAGTCTAGGACAGAAGTTCTATTAACTGGTTGGACCTAAATCAGTTAAGTCTGAACTACATTCAACTAGGTTCATCTTCAACGAGTTTGGCTCATTTTGAAAACAGTTTATGTGCTTTGAATTTCTGGTCTGTTACAGGTTTAAACTGGTTTCTGATCACTTAAACTGGTTTATGTGTAACTTCTGTCCCTAGGCTCAGTGACGTTACTGCACAGTAGCCTAATAATACCATGCAGTAGCTTATTAGCTGTAGGGCGGTGTGAAATTTCGCCAGCTGTTTCATTTTGACACTGTTTCAACTCATTTTGACCTCAAAACAGCAACACTGAAATGAAACAAAGAGCTTTGAAACAGACTCGAAACAAAATGAGGGCAGTCGAAACATTTTGAAAGTTTCAAAACGTTTCATAGTTTCAAGCTCAAACTGGGCTTGCCTGCAGGGAAACAGAAAGTAAGGAGAGGGAGGGGGAAGAGGGGAGGAGGACCGTTCTGATACTGACATGTGTAGCGGGCCAGTTGCTGTGATCCTTCCCTGAGGTCCCTTCTAATCCCAGTGCTCTGGGGGAGGGATGGAAAAACAGCCTAAAAGACAGCACTGTTTGAACTGGCCTGCTTTCTGCCTTGGGGTCTGACAGTTACTGAACTCTCTTCAGCAGCTCAGGAGTGTTAAGACAACAAAGGCTACTACTATTACTGATTTGATTTCCTACTTGTTATCCGAGCAAGTGGGATTCCACAATACCTTTTGCTTTTTTTCTAGTCATTTTTATTTTATTATTATATTCACTGATTTATTCTTTTCAATTTAATAATTATATTGGATATTACACTATAGAATTTATATAGGAAGGCAGATACATATATTTTTATTTCTATAAGTTTATATCTAGCAGCGTATTATAATATAGAATTTATATAGGAAGGGAGATACATTTATATTGTATTTCCATACATTTATATCTTGTGGCATATTACATTATAGAATTTATGTAGGAATGCAGGTACATTTATATATTTTTATAAAAACACGACACTATGAAACACACCATGACGAGTGGTGGAAAGGCAGCTGGCAAGCTTTCAGGAAGGGGTGGAAGACAAGGTAGAGGGAAAGGTGTAAGTCTCCCCCCCCCCCCCCCCGCAAACTGAGACAGCTTCTTTCCTACAACTAGTAAGGATGAGGCTTCCAGAAGCAGCAAGGAGAGGGAAGCAGTGCCAGTGCCATTCCCTGTGCCCGAGTTTGCATCCCCTCCAAGAGCACCAGCCACAACTCCCACCACCACCATGACAACAAGCAGCAGGCACCAGCATGACAGTCTCCTCCACCCCCATTTCACTTCCCATGCTGAGCCTTCCAGTGCCAGAGGAAGAGCTGGAGCTGGATCTGGATTCGAGTGCCATAGGAAGGGAAATTCTGGGGAAGGAGAGGGAATCAGCTGAGTTTGTCCTCCACACCCCTCAAGTTTCCCTTAGACCCAAGTCTCCTTCCCCAGAAGGTACTTCAGAGGAGGCCGAGGTGAAGATTGTGGAGGCAAGCAGCTCAGCTGAGTCTGCTCCTCCTGTTGCTGTGCCTCTGCCTGCTGAGGAGGGAGAAAGTGCAGTATCCACACATGCACCCACACCCCAGAAGTGAGTGGGTAATGTAGTCTAGGATCATTTTGAGCTGGCAGATGATCCCACAGATGCTATCTGTCTGCACTGCCAAGCCAGAACCAGCTGAGGAAAGGGAACAAAACACATGAGTACCATAGGGATGCTGATGCATCTCCACAGGCACCACCCCCTTGCTCTGCAGCCTGGCACCAGTGGGAGTGTGCCCAAAGGGAAGTCTCCCTCTCACTCCAAAACCCCCATCCCTCCAAAGCAGAGGCAGGCCACCCTGGAACAGTGGAGGAAAGCTGGACAGAAAGCAGGGCATATTGTAAGGGCAAGTGAGATCATCCAGAGCCTTGGGGAGATGCTTGCTGTTGATGGCCAGCCCTTCTCCTTAGTGGAGCAGCCAGGGTTCAGGCGCCTTGTGGCCCTATCTTACCAAGTGCCTACACACACCACCTTCAGCAGGACGGTGGTGCCTTCCCTGTATGAGGTATGCAGGGAGTACTTGAGGGAGGAGCTGCACGAGGCATTTCCACAGGTGGCCTTACACTTCATCTCAGACATCTGGAGCAGCCAGGGTGGAGATCACGTCTACCTCTCCCTCATGGGGCACAGATGTGACCAGTCAGGCCGTCGGTGGGTTCTCCTTCAAGCTAAGGTGATGGATGAATCCCACACAGAAACAGAGATCATCGGGGCCACGAACTGCTTAGTGCAGGGCTGGCTTGTTGGGCAGGGCGAGGTTACCTGTGGGTTTATGTTCACCGACAATGGGGCCAATATGGTCAAGGCGGTCCATGATGCCAACTTTGTTGACATCCGCTGTGTGGCACACGAGTTCCACCTAAGTACCAGGGACACCTTGGAGGGTGACAGGTCTGGCAGTGACAATACCATCACCACCAGCAAGCTTATTTCCAAATGGAGGAAGCTGGCTGGCTACTTCCACCGGAGCATCAAGGGGAGCAAGATGCTAAGAAAAAAACGAGCAGAGCTGAACATCCCACAGTGCAAAATCATGCAGGATGTGGAGACTTGGTGGAACTTCACATACCCAATGCTTGAGGGGCTGGTGGAGCAACAGAAGGCCATCCATGAGATGGCCTTGCTTGGGGAGATTGGGATCAGCAGCCCCCTTAACAGAGCTGAGTGGGATACCATCTCCCAGATCTTAGTGGTCCTCAAGCCCTTCCTCGAGGCCACTGAGACCCTCAGTGCTGGCAATGCCCTCCTTAGCCAGATGACCCCCATAGTGATAGAACTTCAGAGTCAAATTGAGAACTTCCAGGGGAATCAATGTACCTGGCTGTGGCAAGCCACTGTCACCAGTGCAGGCACTGGTGAGGTGGCTGAAGGAGGGCATCAGGAAATGGCTTGATCCATTGCAGTCCATAACAGCCCATGTGCTGGCCGCCATGGGTGACCCTATGGTGAAGAGCAGCATATGCAGAATCCAAAGCCCGAATCAGTGGACAGAGGTGCTGGTGAAGGGTCAAGGAAGCAAAACGGTGGAACTGGGGGGACATTGAAGAGGGAGATCCTCCGTCTCATGCTAGCATGCCTCCACCAGCCAATCTCCTCCTCCACCACAGTTGCTGCCAATGTGGGCCCAGGGCATGGCTTCCATGGTGGGATCCAGAGGCAACATACCCCACCATCAGGCAGGTAGTACTCAGGCCTTGGTGGCTGCTTATCTCACTGAGGACATGCAGCCGCTGCTGTGTGAGCCCTTGGCCTACTGGGCAAGCTGTAGTCAGATGTGGTGGGATCTGGTCACGGTGGCCTGCAAACACTGGTCCTGTCCACCAACCAGTGTTCCAAGTGAGAAGGTGTTCAGCATTGCTGGTGATGTAATGACACCCCACCACACCTTCTTGGATCCTGGTTTGGTGGAGCAGCTGGTGTTCCTGAGGGTGGACCTCCCACTGCTGGGGATCCACCAAGCTCCAGGTGCAGACAGAGTGAATGCCATCCTCCTCACTCCATCTGCACCTATTTCCTTTTTTACATTTTTAAAAAGCAATTTAATGGCCCGGTCTCTGACCTGTAGGGGGCACTCACTGCATCAGCAGCCAGCAGGGAAAGAACATGTCCCTGCTGAGTTTCTGTGCCAGGCTGAACTTGGAGGTATGGGCCGGGGCTATGGGGAAGCAGGAGGCCCCAGGTCCTGGGCATAACTACTAAAACTGCACTTTTCCAGGGTCAGGGAGGCCTGGTGGAACTACTGGTAGTGTGGCAGCTCCAGGAAATGCCAGGACCGAGGATCCCCATAGTGAAATGTGGGTAGGAGGCACCATAACATCCAGGTACCAGACACACGCACACAGTCTTGGCTGGGGAAAGCCTAGATCCATCACATCTTTGACAGACCTGAGGCTTGCTTTCTTCAGTGGAGTTGTGAGGCTCCCAGTGAGCTCATCTTAGCTGCCTGGCATGTCAGCTTTTGAGTTAAAAAAACCCTTTGTCAGGTTGAGGAAGTACTTGTAGTTGGTGTGCATGTGTGTGCTGTTCCTGGAAGGAAGGAATAGTAAAGAAGCCATAGGCTGGCATGCAATGCAGGTAAGAAAGACAGTTAGTGAAATTGGAAATGGTGGTTTCAGGGGGTGAGGGACAGCCTGGGGATGGGGGGGCATGTAGCAGTGCAGGTAAAAGTGCAGAGGTACCTGGGGAGTCAGATGTCCGGCAGGTTGTACTGTGTCAGAATTCCAATGTCTATATTGAGTCCATGAGTTTCTATACCTAGGAGGTTGATAAAGTGCAGATCATAGGCTCATCTGTGAAAAGTGGTTTGTAAATTCCCTTTGAGGATCAGGCCTGAGAGGTTGGAGACAGGTAGTTGGGTGTTCTTTCCAATAAATTTTTGGTGTGCACTCCTAGGTGTATCTAGGAGGTTGATGAAGTGCAGTTAATAGGCTAGTCTGTGAAAAGCCCCAGAGCTGGGGGTTGCAGGGAGAGTTCTTTGGCAGCTGCTGGTGAAGAAGCTCCTGCAGGAGAGGAAAGAAAGGCTCTGTGACAATTTGGCTGCCTGAGATGCTGCTGGTGCTACTGTACTAGTGCTCACTAAGTTATTATTACCTGTTGTCATTTAAAGTGGTGGACTGGCCTGAGGCTGTAGGGGAGGAGATGACCTCATTGGGGCATACGACCATGTTCTGTAGAGGCACCAGCACCAGTGAGGGCAGACCTTAACACGTGCACACTGTCACCCATGTCACAAGTTTTGCTTGTCAGTAGCTTGAGGTGCAATTTCCCCAAAACCCCTGGACCCATCTCCTTGGAAGCTGGCAGGCTTCGTGGCTTCAGGAGGTGCCATCATGGCAGCAGCTTTCACCCTGCTGTGCCTTAAACACACACACGTGACACAAGTTTTGCTTTCAAGATTTTGAGGTGCAGCTTCCCAGAAACCCCTGTACCTATCTCCTTGAAGCTTGATGGGCTTAATGGCCTCAGAAGGGGCTACCATCCCTGAAAGTGTCATCCAAATCAGGCAAGAAATTGCAAAGTTATAGACAGTTTCATGCTTCCCCATTATAGCCTATGAGTGAAATATTGAAACAGCATCAAAACAGCAAAACAGTTTTGATGAAATGGAACAGTGCTTTCAAAATTAAACAAAACTCAAAACAAAACACTCTCCTGTTGAAATGTTGAAGTGGAAGCCAAAATGAAATGGTGCTGTTTCGGACAGCCCTCCTTAGCACTGTCCATGCTCTGACATAGTATTGTGCCATATTATTAGGCTACTGCACAGTCAGCATCTCATGTAGACATGCCCACTAACAATCAACCCTTTGTTTTGTTTAGATATACAGTCCTTTTCCCCAGTGAAAGCCTGTCAATCTGTTATGCTAGGTTTCTGTGGTGTGCCTGCTTCCTACAACCAGCAGGTGACCCTGGCAGAAACTCACTCGGGTGGAGCCTCCCTCAATAATTATAGATTTTGAGAATGGGTGTGTCACCTAGCTCTACATCTAAAATGTCCTAACTTTCAAAAAATTTTCTTAACGCTGCAGGCTTTCCCCAGGTTGCACTTCTGCTGCTATGAAACTAGTGTAAAAATAGTTGGAAGTCTTTCTGTAACTGACAGACACTAAGTTACTCTCAAAGACAACCAGAACATTGAAAAACATTTAATTTGGAAATATTTCAGTTTTTTTTATAATATAGGAAGTTCTATGTTTTTCTTTCATCATCTTTTTTCAAACTACCCATGAATAGGTGATTTTCATCTCTCAAGACTAAGTACAGACATTTGGGGATGTTAGCGGGAGGTTAAATCAATTCAAAAAGGCTGCCTGATGGCACGTAAGTCAGAATGGAGAGGCTAGCTGGGGTGTTGGGGGTCTAGCAGGCTGGAGGGGGATCAGTGGTCTACTGGGGAATGCGAGGCAGGCACAACCTGCAGGTAGGCTATGGGGGCAGATGCAACCCACAAGGGGTAGGGCAAGTAGGTGTGGCCTATGAGGGGCAGGGGGGCAGTTATGACCCACAATTCGGGTGAGGGGGGCAGGCATGACCTGCAGGTGGGCTGGGGGAGGCCCACGACCCATGAGGGGTGGGGCAGGTAGGCATGACCCACAGGTGGCATGGGGTGAGGTCCCACCTAGCAAACCTACAACCCCATCCCTCCTGCCCCTCTCCCTGATAGGACTTACTGAGTTCCAGAAGTGGCAAATGTTGATAAAAGCAGCTGCACCCACAGTGACTTGTGGGGGCTGAGGGGGCTAGCTGGTTGGGGGGCAGGGAGGACAAAAAAATAGCTCAATGTGGGGGGAGGGAAGGGTGAAAGAGCAGCTCTGGGGCTGGAGCCCATAGCTGGGTTTTCCCAGCCCTGGGGCTGCACAGAGGCAGGGGAAAGAAGTACCATGCACTGGTTTGACCTAAATTGGATTAAGTCTGATACTACATAGATCCACTTTTATCTTATGCCTGGTTCTGCAATTTTTAGACTGGTTTATGCATATGGAACTTCTGTACACTTACAGGTTTAGACTGATTGCTGCTCACTGAGTACAAGCTGTAAATGTAGTCAGCATGGAGATGAGCTAAATTTAAATTGGGCTGCCATTTTGAACCTGACAACCTCATAAAATGTCTGTACTTAGCCCTAATGTTTAACTTTTCTGGATGCTCTACCCCTTACCAACAAACTTGATCATGTCTGCAGAAAGCTGATTGTGGTAACAGAATTTGGCCTTCAGGTGAGAAAGAGCTGGGCAAACAGCACAACCACATCTTTATTAAATAGTTTTAGCGAATATACCTTATGATTACTGCTGAAAATCTTGGCAAAAATGTTAGTATTCAACATCCAAAAAATTTTCAAGCAGCTCTGCTAAGAAATAAGTAGGAGCTGGTAAGCATCTAAGCAGAACTGAAACTGTTTGCATTCAGTCACCTGTGCAAATAAATATAAGGAAACAAAATGCTGAATTTATGAGAAAGGCAGAGGTGGAATTGTTTCTGCCAACACTGCACATTTTTACACTAACAAATTAAAAGGTAAGCAAAAATGGCAGTCACCACTCAATATCAGATCAAAGTTGCTGCCAGATGAAAGATCCATATGGTATAAAGGATCTATTGCAGATATGCATTTTTTTATGCCAAACCTGGCATTCATTCTTTTGATGTATAGTACATTGGATATCAACAGCCACATGGCTGAATAAAGAAGAAAAAAAAAAAGAGAAGAGAAAAGAGCAGAGTATAAATGAGTAAGCGTGGGAAAGAAGAGGAGACATGGAAGGCATTGGGAGATTTAAAGTTTCATGTATTTGTATGAACAAATTCTTAGCTACACCCACTCCTACACTAAACACAGTTGCTAACTACAAGTGTAGCAATGCTGGCAGGTTTTTATAATGCTATGAGTAGCTTTCATTCACAAACTCTGTTGGGGAAACAGAGAAAAATCAATACTACTTTTCTATCTGGCTTTCTGCAAGATCACGTGAATGAAATCTACCAATGATGCTAAAAGGCACTTCACAGTGGGTGATGGCGTAACTACTGCAGTTTTCTTCTTCTTTGCTTTGTATTTGGTTTATATGTTTTTGGCTGTAGTTAGTTAGCACATCCAACCCAGTGTAACCTCGGTGACCAATGGGAGTAACTGAGTTTAACAGGCTAATACGGTGCATCTGGATGAGCATGGATGTTTGTTTCCTGGGGAAAAGT